GAAAACATGACTGAGACCGAATAGATCAACAGAAGCGCAATATATATACAAGCACTTGATTGAAACCCAAGCTTAAAGGCAGACTTCAAGGTCTGTCATAGTACTCAAGCCACTATCCCAACTGCTAACCAGCTGATAAACACTTAGAGTCAACTGGGTAACTCAAGTGGAGGTAATAGAAAGGCAAACTGACTAGGCCTCTTACAGATGCTACATACAGATCGCTCGCATGACTATTTCATTAAGAAAAGAGAATGGTCTGGTCCAAGGCAAATATGTTTCACATCATATGGGAAGAAAACTTCAAGAGGGAAGTACTGATCCTTGCCATGTTCAAGTCCAAGTAAACCGTATCTGAAGAAAAAGGAGTTATAAAGGGCGAAAACGTGTAGCTTACATCGGTGCAGTTCGACGACCGGGGAGGGGAGGGGCATTTTGCTTGTTACTTCCTATCGATGTTTCGAGCCATGTGGAAACCCCAGAGTGAGACTTGTACACCGAAACCAGTGAAGCACTCTGACACAGGACCGCTTTCGCTGCTTTACTAGTTCCGGTTTACAAGTCTGACGCTGGAGTCTCAAACTTGATGGCTCGACACATCGATAGGAAGTAGCAAAAGTGCGAAATGCCCCTCCCCCCTCTCCGTTGCAGAAATGCGCCGTGTTGAGGGAATGCAATTCATTTCGCCCCTTCCCAAACGAGTAAATATCCAAAACCCAGAGATCGCACACTGTTTCGGTTTAGGGCCAAACAAAGAGTACCTTTCTAATGCCCCACATAAAGAGAAAATGAAAATGAACCAGTAAATATGATACAAACAATGCAAACTGACAAACCTGTTCTGACCCCAAACGAAGAGACGGCCACTCGAATGTGATGGCACCGCAGGAAGTGTTGCCAGCGTATACCTTGGCGACCTACAGACTTATATGGCTTGAGGAAGTGTGAGCCGTATCCTTTCACTTGAAAATTTCATGCCTTACCTTTTCTTTCCCAAAAAGTGGTGCATCCATCAATGTTGGACGATCCAGTTTCTGTGTATTTGGCCCGAGACCAACCAAACCAACGCCCCAGACGTATACCTGAAATAAGGCAACATCCTAAGCGAGTAAAATAGGACTTCACAGTGACCTGCATTCAGTCAAAGCGCCCCAAGGCCTTGGCCTGACCACTAGCTTCTTTCACCCAGATCGAACTACTATGAGCTCGAGTGCTTCAATCTTTACGTGAAGAATGAACCTTTCGATCAACGCAGTCGCCTCTGTGTCCTTATTCCTGGCCAATGAACCTGTTGTTTCACCCTGCTCTACTGTACTATCCGCTGCGGATGATGGGGCGCGCCAAAGGGAGTACTGTATGATGCCATTCACATCAATCGTTTTCCACTAACTTTGTCGCTTACCCGCTTCAGCAATTAGCTCAGAAGAAGCTGGCGGTGTCCAAGCCCGGCCTCATTTACACGCCTTATCATTCGCAGCGAACAAGACTGTATCGCCGCCGAACGAACAGTATAAAAAAGATATTTGATGTGCATTGAATACAAACCTCTCCGCTGTGCGTGTTGGCAACACAAGAACTTGCTGTTGATCCTACCGACACGATTTTTCCAGGTGGAAATGGGATGTAGCGGGAAAAGGTCAGCTAGAATGAGCGAAATGTCATAATTCAGTAATGTGAATGTAAAACTAGAGCCTTGCCTGGGTAGTATCTGCACCAACAACAGCCTGTCCATATTCGCACTGACCCCACATGAATAGCTCACCCTTATCGGATAATGCTACTATGGTATCGGAACTTCCCGAAATTGTCGTAATCTTCTCATCAGCTGCATCGCCTGCAATATTGGGAGCATCGGTCGCTAATGGGGGACAGTTGCGTTTCAAATGAATCCCTATAAGAACAATCAGTAATTTAAGTTCGAAGTTCAGAATTGAGTGGTGAGGCTGAAGGGAACGCGCTAATGATATCAAAGTGGTTGCTTAGCAACCACTTCAATACAAAATCTTCTCATATTATCAGCTTCTAACCAGGGCACATCATCGTGATGACGGAAACTTTCTTCCGATATGACGTCCTCCTCCAATGACTCAATACCAACAACAACCGGTCAAACCAGATACGAGCACCTTTCCAAACAACAGCCTGCCAAACAGTATAACCTTCTTTTAATCTTCTTTTCCTTCACCTTCTTTTTTCCGTGCATTAGGTACCCCTATCCTTCACTGATGCCAAACTAGAAATCTAAACATACTTAACCTAAGGTCACAATTTATTATCATAAAGGAAATTTCACCAAAGATTATTCTGCGAGCTTACAGGATGAGAAGAAGTGATAACAACTGGAACGTAAGTTAAAGAGGCTCACAGAAAGGGCTTCTCTTTCATAGCCTATTATTTGAACAGGAGCAACTTAGGAAAAGCATATTGTTTCAGCAGCAGCAATCAGAAACAGGAAACGTCCTGTGTTGGGAAATCCCAACGAGGGGTCGCATTTGGTCGTTGGAGTTTTCCCCAGCGGCAGTATGTGCCCTGATTAGAAACCCATGAGGTCTTGTGAAATCAAAGCTCAGAACTGTGCCTACGGGTGACCACTCCGCAACTATTTCCCATTGGTTGTAAGGAGTCATAGAGGCACAGCGAATAAGATTACACTCCATATCCCATAGATCGGCTGCGTGCTTCATTTTGAGCCGAGCGGCAGCTACTATTTCGGTGGAAGCATTGCCGTACTGGGAAAATCCGAATTTGAATAATGTCGTTGACCGGCAACGACAGGATGCCAATTGTATCAAATGGAAATACCTACTGAAAAGCGTATCCCACCACGCACAAATGAAGTACGCAGCCACGCCCACTCCACCTCTGGGACAAGAAGTACAGCTCATTAATCCGCGAAACAAGGTTAGCAGAAATCATTCGTTCATTAAATACATATTCCGCCATTATACGATGTGTAGGAACACTTCTCAGTTCATACGGTAGAACTGGTCCCCCCCCCCCCCTCGTTATTTGCCGTAGCAACTCTAATCCAGGCGACTCTTATTCGCCGTAGCAATCTACTCCAGGTGACGTCTTGCCTTTAAAGAGAACCTTCGCTAAACACTACCTCCCTCCAAATGAAAGCAAATGATTTTTTGGTAAGCTCATGGCGAAGGATCGCTGAATGCACATGTATAAGAGAAATAGTGCAGGAGATGGAAAACTAGGAGTACCTAGGATTTTTGTGGGCTTCCACTGAATACCAGATGAATGATTTGCACATTGTCCATCCTCATTCAAGCCAAAAGCGAAGACTTCACCACTTTCTGTGAGGACGAATGACGTGTCCAGAGTACAATGTACTGCCACAGCAGGAGAATCGCTAGGGATTTCAACAACAGGCAGCAGCGAATCCCTCAACTAAAGTATTTTAGTGAACACTGGCTGACTTCGCAGTAAGTATTGCAACGGGCTTACTCCGTGGACTTCTCTGTGCTTTTCTGGATCTTGGGCACATTGGCCGTGAGCGTTGTCTCCGAATGCAAAAACACCAGACGTGGTGGCTACCAAGGAATGTGAGCGACCCGACGATACGGACAGAATTTCCGCGTCTGAATTTAACCAGTAGCTCTCGAAAGACAAGTTTCCTCAGTTTTTCATACCACTTACTCTGAGGAAGCTGTATTCGTTTAGCGCTGATATAGTAATCTTGAAGCTTGCAGTGTGTATCTCGAACGTGGCTGGTAATTTGGAATCTGAAAAAGAAACGATAGTGAAACCAGCTACGCTCCTCGACATAAACGTTAATGGATCAACAAGAAATTTCTGGTGGCCCTCCCTAGCGCGCTGAATAGTAATGATGGAAAGCGCTAGAAAACTTAGATTGTAATGAGTGAAAGCTAACCCATAGTACTGACAGGGCAAAGACTGGTAAGAGCGATTCAGAATATTTGCAATATAGCCTCAGCCTGCTAATTGCCAGGCCCCGCAGTAAGCGGACTTGACGGGCCATGGCTGCTCTCTAGGACTATAAAAGATAAAAGGGGGAGGAGGCACGTCGGAGATATGGTCGTGCTAGTTCTGATCGTATAGCAACTCCGAGGCCGCCTCATATTTGCATTTGGACGATGGCATTCGCCTGAGAGAATTCGTTCATCGATTTGAGAATTCGATCGCAGCTATCAACTGCATAGCACCGTCAATGACCGGGGCGCTACAACAGCGAGTCGATCGCATTAGAGTCGTTTCGTCTTTCGCAATGGGGCAACGATTAGCCGATCAGACGCATGAATGGGATCCCACAACGCTTAGTAAAACGCAAGTGTAAAGCGGGCGTAGCGTTTGGAACGCACTCAAGCAGAGTGAAGAAGGAGGATCGACTACTACCTTGCTAGGTGGGTGCCGACGAGCAGGCATAGTGAGCGGTCAGCTCTGCGCAGCTTCTAGCCAACTATGCGTGTGTCTGCGTTAACCAACACCAAGATTTAATACTGAAAATTGTACAAAAAAGACCAGTGTCGGCAATTCTTCAGTTCTGCTACAAACAATTAACCCTATCGAGGCAGTGGGACTTTTTACGAAACAGTGGATCCTAGGGCTGAGGGTGGCGGTGAGAGCAAAATGGCGAAAGCTCCTGCTCTTTAGACAAGAGGGACACCCGTGGGTAAACTATGCGTCTCTTGTCTGAGCGTTGAGACTGACAGGGCAGGATCTTCTCACGCGCGCAGCGCGGCTCGCTTCAACTGAAGACAGTTGTACGATGGCCTAGAAGGTGGGCGGATTACCGTGTGATTGGAAAACGCCACAACCACCCAACCCTTTCACCAATGAAGTTGGAAGTAATGGCACGCCCCGAGCCACCAACTGCTCACTGCCTCTACGTTCGAATTAAGAGCAAGAAAGGAAAAAACGGAGGGGAAGACCCCACGTAAAACCTAGTGCTGCAGAGAAATTTTTGAACACAAAAGAAATCACCTGTTGTGTCAACCCGCGGGACCAAAAACGCTTTGTCTTTGGATCCGGCGAAACACATGAAAAAACGAACAAGCAGCTATACTCGTGCTGATTCCCGACGATACTTTCATCGTGAGTTACTCCCGCAGTGCTCTGTGTGCTTCTCTAGACTGACAAAAGTCGCTCACGGACTAAGGTCGTATAGCAACGCTCCATGATGCCGACAACCACACACCCATAAACTGGCTCTTGAACGCTGGAATCCGAAATAGAATGGAAGATTCCACAGTTGTGTTCAGCTCTAAAAGCAGTCGGAACCAAACCTTTCTCTTCATCACGGCGGCTACTTTCTTCGCCACCCTGGTTTTAGAAGCAAAATTTTTTGAGAGCCAGGCCAAATAACGAGGTCTGTCCTGAAAGTTTTTTCAAAGCAAACATTTGGATGGAATAAAAACTCGACACACGAAAATATTATGTTGAAAAATCCGACCCAAATTAGAAAGTCATGAATGTAATGATGTCCTTTTCGATGTGATATGTAATGACTCTCCCGAGTCATTACATCTCCACAGACGACGGTCTTGACGCTTTACGCCCTTCTTCACGTCGAAAAACATCACATTCAAAAGTCCCACCAACATCATCTACTCTACAAACACATGAGCAAGGAATCCAAAGAGCGGAACTACAATCAACACGAATAACTGCCGGCTTAACGAATCGAGCAAGGAGAACACATGAAGCTCCAGAAATATTGCATATTGAATGAGAAACGATGTTGAGGATGTGGTCACAACTGGGTGTTTCATTCTGAGAAAAAAAGAGAGACCGTTAGTCGCAAAGTCTCCAGTCCAAGATGATATGGCCGGCAAGCCCCCGCTTGGTTGTCACAAAATTCATTCCTTTGCGCAGGGTTCGCAAAAAAACACGTTGAGACTAACAAACGAAACTTGCACAGCAAGAACGACTGCATAGCGTCAACAATGAACTGTGCTTCGAGTATCGACTTCATTTTCTATGCCTCCGAGCAGCGAAGTCGCGTCCATTTCACCGTCCCACGAGGACAGAAAGCTTGACTAGCCTGAGGGGTCGTCAAGCCGGGATTTGGCGCCGGACCGTGCGCTATGAAAACGCACCACTTGCTACACCATCTCAGCCCTGTGTATTCAGTAGAAAGTGCAAGCATGGCCTTCCTGAACAACGTTTTCGAATCGACATAGCTAGTGCATCTTTTTAGGGAGAAGTTATGTAATGGTAATCCCTGATCACGAGCAGAGCCGTGGGAGAAATCTCTGATAGGCTCTTGTCCAGGCCATATAACCCCTCCATCCTTCCGACATCGGAGAATTACTTCCTCAGTAACCCGGCGGGATGAACTAACCGTTCACTGGACTGCACAATTCATGGGAGACGAAATCGAGCCGAACTACCAGACTACGATCGTAGAATTCATGGCTCTTCCAAAAAGGAGGCTGATCAACGCCAGGAGCTTTTTAGTTCACTGGAACCGCTTCAAAGAGCCTTTCTTCAAAGATGCTCTTTGTCCTCATCCCTCGTAAGGCAGTGGCCACGATTGCTGAAGGCGAGCGGTTCCTGCCAATGTTATTTGTGGAAAGGCTGCGAGAGATCGTATGACCACACTCCACCCAGCCCTTCCACCAATGACGTTGAATAAAAGCATACGCCTCCAGCATTCGTGGCCACTGCCTTTAACTGAGTCCGTATCTCAGGCTGATCTCACAGCTAAAGGTTAACGTGGCCCAAGTTGCGACCAAAAATGTTGAAACAGTAAATTCCTCAAGTTTCGCCTTCAGTACGTCCTTTTCACTGATTCCACCACAGCATCCTCTATTCAGGCAAATTACGAGGCAACTGCTAACTCTCGTCTTCAAACATATCAATGCATACGAATATTTATCGATAATTTCGAGATACAAGATACTTTTATCACGTAGAAAAACAAGGTTCAAATACAAAATTGCCTATACACATTCTAAGTGATGACGAAATTGTCGCTTTTTCTGGTAAGTTCGGATAACACTGGATTCTATCACATACAAGCACAATCATGGAATGGTTGGCAGACACGAAGCAAGTCTCTAGCGGTGAAGAAACTCGCGGTCGTACAAGACAGTACAGAACTAGACAATACTCCACTACATCTAAGGAAAACATGACAAACCGAACATGCCATGGATAATTGATCCATAGGTAGGAAAGAATAAAACAGGTCCATCGTAGCGTTCTTATTAAGCGGAACTAATCGACTAGTCGAAGAACTTTCTGTTCAAGTTGGGACCGAACAGGGCAGTGCGAATTTGTGGAATAATCTGAAAGGCAGCAAGAAACAATGACGACGTTTGATCTGTCAGGAAACCACAAAAAAGGTAGATATTCTCAGAAAGCATTGTAGTATCGATTTTGAGTATCAAAATCAGTTTACTTGACTCTAAAAGATGTTTTAGCAGTTATAATAACTGCTCTTTAGCGCCGCAGTGTGGCAAAAGTAATCTTAAGAAAGCTAAGTTATAGGTAAAAGTTAGAGCCCAGATGGGACTAGAGGCCGCATCTCCCGCTACGCTATCTACTCGTAACCGGAGCCGCACCCTCAGGGTACAGCATCGTTGTGTGAAACAAATGGGGGGGGGTCAACCTTTTCTCTGTTGTGAGGGGGGTCGTATGTGCCTTTGAGAGAAATTTGGTCGCGTTGGTCTCCCGGTTGCTGACTTTTTGCGGGATTTTCCCTGTTTCACGTGCACTATATACCCCCCGCCCCCTTCTCTATCCCAAAATTTTTTGGTGAAAAAACTGGAAAATGGGGGGAAACTTGTAGGTAGGTGTTGGGGAAGGGGGGGGGTCGTCCCTACACCACCACCTCACACATCACGATGCTGTACCCTGCGCGCCCTCTCACCTCAATTTCTTTTGTGCCATAGCCCTACAGCTGCTTTAGTAGCAATTCTACAGCGAAAAAAAATTGCAGAGCTCTCATCTCAATATCAATCAGATTGCGTTCATTCACGGCACTGCAATTTGCAATTCATGGCATTTCGCGCCGTGAATTGCAAAATTGCAATGCCGTGAATTAACTAACTTACTACGACGACTGATATTATTATGGAAAGTTGTAAGACGGAACAGTGTTCTCGAATTGCTCACCTGATTAGCAATTAACTCCAAACGGCTCTCCAATGTAGATGAAACTCTGATTTTACCACCCTTGGATGAGAGTTCTACGCCACCGGCCGCTTCTGGTGGCAGGAAATTTTTGTCGATTTTCACCTGAATAATATACAAGCATTATGAATTGGCGAGACTTATGGTAAGTGCTTTAATCAAGAAGTCACAGACAAAGGAAGTGTTTACGAGTAAATCTATAAAGAATAACGTCAAGTTAATCGAAAGAGCAAGTTTTCAGAAATCCCATCTACGTTTTTTGCTAATTAGCCTTAGAGATTCTAGCATGATGCAGCATTCTTACAACTAGGGGGAAATATTCCACACTGACGGAGTAGGAAAAGAACTCCTTGTAGAGAATAAATAAATCTTCAGACTTTCTCTCTAATGATACGAAAGACGGGACGCTCAAACTAAGACATCCGCTCAATGAAATAAGCTATTATAGGCCTTAAAAAGACCTTCAACGAAAAGTAAAATAGAAGCTCTCATGAGCATGAGAATCTCTCTAATTCTCATTCAGGAATCCAGAAAAAGAGATATTCGGTTAAAAAAGCTTCACAGAAAAACACCATGAGGCGTTGAGGCCAGCACAAAAGAGATCCTTCCTAGTTTCCTCTCCTCATAATCTTACACGTGTTCGAAAAAGTCAAACAACGGGATCGTGAAATGAGCACGATCGAGAGCGTAAAAAGCAGCAACACTACTTTGTGACTAAATCTGAGCCCAGTTTTCCAAATATGCACCTTATTATTATACTGAGTCCTATGAATGTGAAATCACTAGAAAATGTTTCTAAGCTGACAACGCAGTAGTAAAAAACCTAATGGTATGGTTGAATAAAGTGAAACATGTAGAATAAAAATGTCTGGTTAAAGAAGTGAAGGAGATGTTGCAAATAGCTGCTCAGGTAAAAGCAGTGAGCGTGAGGTACAAAAAAAGGATAATATTGTGGTGTACAACACTTACGATGGTTTTCTCTCCCCATTCTTTTTCGAGAGCGTCAAGACACTCTGGGATAAGTTTTTCCACAAGACCTAGATCCCTCTCGCGACATCGAAGAAGCACTTCCTTCTCAAGCATTTGCAACAAAGCCTGAAAAGAATACTACATGGCTTCATGACGTAGCTCCGACACGTGGCTCATTACGTTACATTTCAAGAGAAAGATAGCGAGTCAGTAACATCACGTAACACGTTGAATACTGCTTTGAATAAAGGCTGTTATAAAACCGGCCCCTCTCCATGATCAGGGTACAGCATCCTTGTGTGAAATACACGGGGGTCGTACTGGGCCGCTGGGGAAGTGGGAGGGGTCGTATTTGTTCGCTGTTGGGAGGATGGGAATCGTATGTGAGAGAAATTTGCCGCGTGGGGAAAAAATTTCCTCGCTTGCTGACTTTCCCTATTACATGTGTACTGTACCCCCACCCCACTCGAGGGAAAATTTTTGCGTGAAAAACTGGAAAATGTGGATAAATGGTAGATAGGTGTTAGGGAAGGGGGAGGGGGTGTACCAAGACATTCCCTCTAGAGCAGTCGAACTGACACCACCATTTCACACATCAGATGCAGTACACTGTTCATGATAACGCAGTAATTGACTGAATGTGATTTCGAATGTTTATTTGAAACAAAAGTACCCTCACCTGCATGATGAGCCCTTTCAGAATGCCGGGATACCGTGCCTGATCATTGGAGATCTTCGACAGATTTACTCGAGCTTCATCCAGCACATTGCGAATGTGATCCTCACGCGCCTTAATTATTTACCTTCATTAATAATTAGAAAAGATTACTGAGATCACTCATCGAACATTAACTTAATATTTTAATATTAATAATACATTTAATTAATTTTTTGATAAGGCATATGAAATTTAACGGGCCCGTAAAACAAATGTTCTTCAACAAATATCTGGAAGATGAAGTGGTTTAGCGCCAGATATCACAGATGCGGCGGAGGTGGTGTAGTGACAAGTGGCGCGCTTACCACTCGCGCGGCGCCGGGTTCGAATCCCGGGTCGACTCCCGCCCAGGCCAACCAAGCCTTCTACCCTCCGGGACGGTAAATTGGTACCAGATTCGTCTGGGAGGATAAAACACTGACTTGTACATCGGCTGGCCACCGCAAGTCATTGTATAGGCCACATCGCATTCAATAAGCCACTACGATTCTGAATGGAAGTAGAATGCGTGCCGCATCCCACAAAGGGATTGATCAACGGCGAAGACTTTATCCTTATCCTTTATTTATTACAGATGCGACACATACAGCGGAACAATAAGACACTGAGCTCCGCGTATACTTTCTGAAGCTAAGCAGGTCCAGGAGCGACATCCAAACGAGGTCTAATAGTCCACCGCATCGACAGATTAACGACCATACTTGCGCGATAGCACCTTTCAAAATTTTATGCATACCCTAAGACACAGGAGTCTTCCTTCATTGAGAGAGTTGGAGGACTGGATCTTCCTTTGCAGCTCAACTTGCTTCTCCTTTTTTTCGTAAAACTCCATGATCTTCTGACGTTGCTGCTGCACCAAACGACCCTATAAAAACAGAAATGTGAAAAGAAAACTGTCTTCTCGCACCAAGAAATCAGAAACCAGAGTCACGATGAGGGGGTGGGGAAGAGAGGGCGGGGGATTCTCGAAATTTCAAGACCTGAACACCTAGTCAAGCAGACGTTTTAGTATGGTTAAGAATAACGGGGGTTCTTATTTATCCTGCGCTATAATAATACCAACTAGCTTTACCCTGCTTTCTAGACTCAACGCTCAGAAAGAGTCCAAATATCGCTGACGAGAGCACACTATTGCATAACCAAGCAGTTATGCGAATTCTTTATTAACACCTGTGCCAACTGACGGAAATATTAAATTTTGAAAGATAACAAGATTCTAAGGAGGTGCACCCTTCGCCCCGCATAGTGTCAAATTGTTCTAGACCAGTGTTAACCTGGAATGGCGCTACGGACATTGGAAGGGAGTAGGGGGGGGATGATCCACGACCTGCCTCAGCGCTATAATTGCCTACAATTTTTGA